GTCCGAGCTGGTTTCGCTCGTCGTGCGCAAACACTGTTCGCGGCGCGTTGCCCGACGGCGGACGCGGGCGTAACGTCCACGCGAGCCTCGTTAACAATACCGCGCAATTATCGCCGCTCGCCACTACCGTTTTTCACGGTGTATTTGCGGTCGGTGCCTGACGTTTTTTTTCTTCCTCCATTTGTCGCCCGTCAAAGTACCGTCTGCTGCCACCGTAATGGAAACGGATGATTGTTATGTTAAAACGCGCCGGCAAACCGGCGGCGGTCCGTGATTTCATATGTCATTGATGTCACAGTGATTATTAACCGAGTAAACATTGTTTCCGTAGCCACGCACGCAATGGTTATTATTATTTGGGTATAAATATCTTGTGTCACAACGGTGATATTTTCGCGGGACACTCTGCACACACACGTGTACACAGAATGTAACGGAACTATTTAAAACGCGCAACAACTATCGTTCAGTTAAATATTTTTATTTTTGTTTCGTTTCGTTTTTTTATTTTTTTTTTTTATAATTACTAGAGATAATTTTTTGAATTTCAATATCTAATATTGTTGAACACCGGCGTTATGCCGGTAGTTCGCTAGAAATAATATATTCACTTGTACTATTTATTATTCATTTCCACCATTCGCTTCCTGATGATATATTGTTCGAGTAAGATTCGAAAAAAAAAAAAAAACGCAAAACAGCAAATCCAGATATCGCCGGACACGCGTATCGAAATATACGATTATTTAAATCTGTTTTAAATTTTATTCGTTAAAATTAAATCTATGACACGCCTGTTTGAACCGCGCGAAAATGTCCACTCGTTTTGCTATAAACTATACCTATGGTATTAAATTGTAATGTAAAAACGTAAAAACGAAACGGAGTCGATTTTTTGATTAGGTACATTATAAATATTTAATACGAAGAAACACAAACGTTTAACATTGAAGTATCGTAAAAAAAAAAAAAAAAAAAAACACATTACAGAATAGAAACGTATAGAAAAAACTCGCGAGATAATATTTTATTCTATTTTATAGAAAAAAAAAACACCGTACATCGCGGGGAAGGACGAAAACTCGTTCGAAAATAAAATGTCAAAGGTTTAGGTACGTATCGTAATACGAAATCTATCGGTATGTGTATACAGAGTGATCAATCTATCGTAAGACACTCATATTATCGCGGACGATAAATATCATAAACGTGAAATCTTAGAACCGCTTGTTTCTTACAATATTATGGTCTATAAAACATACTCCGAAAAATGTGAATGCTTTCCCAGATAATATATGAACGTCTCGCGATAGATTGATCGCTCTGTATAGTTTTATCGTGTAGCCCCCGCGTAAATATAGATTTTTTTTCGTTTTAACGGCCTAGGCGGTTATGCCCTCGAACTTGTATTACATCAAATATTATATAGGCACGAGTATATTGTAACGATAATGGACTTCGAAGTTACAGTACGTATACCTGTACCTATAGGTACCTATACGTCAAACGAAACGCGCGGCCGGGGATCGGGGAAAAGTTTGACGAAATTTCCATTAAATTAGGATTGGTTGTATAGACTGGGGAGAGACTGAGACAGGGAGAGGGAGAGAAAGATAGAGAAAGAGTGTATTTCAGGGTCTTGTTATCGGGTATAAATATACGCGCACTACGTAATAATAATATAGCGTTCTGACGTTTATATACCCGGTTGCGAATCGCACTCGGCTTTGGTACGGGCGGCCTATGGGTCTGTTTCAGAGCCATCCGGATCTTTGATCATTTTCTCTGGTTTGCGTTTTTCCCCGCAGAAGACGGCGGTGCGTTGATTTAGCGTTTTTGTCTTTGACGAATTTGAGATTTTTGACGGTAGAGTCATGGTAACTGTTGCGGGCCGAGGAACTTTGATGTCTGCGCTCGGTAAACTAATATTATGCCTTTGTCAATCGTCCTGTTTCGCTTTTGTGAGGCTCGGTGTTCTCGGACGTCGGGAGGTAGGGGGGGTGGGGCGAGTCATAATACAGGTAGTGATTTCCCGTTACTGTACGGAGCGCAACATTTCGTACGGCCGCCGTTTTATTTTACGATTTGAGGAGATGACGACAGTGGTCCTCGGTGGCGTGGCGTGCACACGAGCAGCGTAAACTTTGCTTACACGCATTCGACTGTAAAGTGTTATAGATATAAATATTTAAATGAACATTACACTATTTCGGGATAGTATAAGACACGATGACATACGAGTAACTTTCTCACAATGTGCAACATGACTAATCGCCGTGACGCTGTTTACTATTACTAACAGCGCGTTTGGTACGACCGCATACGACGCGGCCGCATTGAAACTCTCGTCGGCCGTCTTCGCCCATTGGTCAATGACTGCGAACGGTTCAACGTACAATTATATCACTCGATAGTGTTTATTTGGGAGCCGCGGTCAATCATTTAAATCGTTTCCGATTATATTTCCATTAAACGAATCGCGAGCGGCTGTCTAGTGGTAGTGAAAATGTACGGGGTCGTAAATTTCGGCACATCACTTTTGGCGACCGCTTCGCGCCACACGGCCACCGGCGGTCCCCGTGCTGCCGCGGCCGCGTACGTCGGCGTATCGGTTCGGGCGCACATTTACTAAACAGTCGCAACTCATTTGCGCACGTGTTTACAACTAGACTATTTCTAGCACAATAACTGTTGTTCGCGCGCGCATTTTCCTTGCCGCTCGCGACTGCCGGCGAACATTTTAACTTCTGCGACACGGTCGAAGATACGCTTTTGCCGCGCACGCGTTTAAACACATTTACAATTGATGGTATTGCGTACGGTAAAAAACAAAAAAATTTGGGGGGGGGCGGGGTAGAAAGCGGCCGTTCGGATTTGTCGTCTTCGAAATCACTTCGAAAGGTCCACCGCGGGAAACGGCGACGCCTGCATTGTCTGCACGCGCGTAAGTCTACCGGTTTAATTTATGCACGGACGTCACGTGTTACGCCGTTAAATTACCAGTGTCGGCGAGCCGTTCGCGTTTCATAACATTTCGCGCGCGCGATCGAATCGTTCCTTCTGAAATATAATAGCGCGGCGCGCGCAAAACGAGTTCCGGCCGGTCACAACCGAGAAATTCTAAAATGTGCGCGAACTCGTCGAACGTTTTTGTAAGTCTCGTACGACTTGTACGTGGCAATAGCATTTTATGTTACAGCCCGGCCGGACGCGGCGGTATACTGCGCCACGCGGTATTGTTGTATTCATTATGCGCGCGCCGACGTCTATATTTATACACGTTTTTTTTTTTTTAACGCTATGGCAATGAACACGTCGTAATAATTATTATTATATCCGTTATGTCCGACAAACTTGTGCGCGGACGTATAATACGGTTTAACAGCGCGGTCATAAAATTACCGATCAATAATAATAATAATAAAATCTGTATCGTTCGAAAATTGCACGGAAATACTGACGATATTGTAAATATTTCGATTTGTCTTTATGAATTCTAAACGTATCGGTTTTACTATAAGGTGGTGGTGTTGTTTTTTTTTTTTTTTTTTTTTTTTTGCTGTGTCTGTAAACAGTTTTCTAACCAGTAATCTCGCTCCGATCGGAAGCAAGATTCCTATAAAGGAACTTTCCGGCAGCATTCTTCAACCAGTTCGGTGTACTCGAGTCATTTTTTAATTGTTTTGCATTTTTTTTTTCTTAATAAACGGAACAGAATGGCAACTGTATATTTTATTTTCGTTTGATTTCCGGGTTACCACGGCAACAACGGAATACGGCCAATAATGCTCTGTTCAAAATCAAAAAAAAAAAAAAAACAACAAACATTAACCGTTAAAGACATTTTGTGAGTAACTAGAAAACGTTTAGCTATACACGTCGGATATAAATCACTAGGTGTATTAACGGTACCCATTATTTATTTAAATATTTAAATTATAAACGCCTCAAGGGCTACGAGTACAGAAAAAACAATAATTATAAAATATAAAGAGTACAATAATAAGAGGTACAGTTCATTTAGTATAGATGGTAAAGAATTGAAAAATAAATCAACATCGGACAAATGATTAATACGGCGCATAGCGGTGATCGAGGGGAAACGCGAAACCAATATTAGTTGAATGGAATTTAATATTAAAAGTAGATTTGTGCTTTGAATTAAAAGAAGAAACTGATAAGGGTAATGGTGATAACAAATCGGGAGAGTCAATTAGCCCGTACAATGATTTGTAAACAAAAGAGATGTCGAATTCACTTTGTCTACCGGCAAGCGATTTAAAAGCCACAGTACCATCACGTCGAAATGAATCTATTCTTATATATTTATTGTTAATTTCGTTTAATCCGTTATGCATCATGTACATTGGATTGCTCCGGATGATGGGTTAAGGGAAAGGGAGGGGGGGACTAAGAGAACTATAGCCCGGGCAAATGTTGTAATTCTAATTCGTCTACAGTTATGTCATTAATAACTCAATACAACTGAAATAATTACAATTCTAAAAAGTGCTGCATGTTGTGTCAACGTCGCATGCGTGAGACCTCGAGTAGGTAGAATGTGTTACAGTTGTTTTAAGTGACAGACATTTTTTAAATACTCTACAAACGGAGTTTTTCACACGGGCGTCTCGTTTGAAAAATCAAAGTCGGTATCGCCACGGGACACCCATTGAACGCCGCGAAACATCCAAGTATTCGAAAACGTCGGCTTTAACTAACAGTTGGAAATTCTAAAAATCAGAATTCGAAATCTAACCGAACAAATGTGACGGGCACGCGTGGCGAATCCGATTCGTACAAACGTAATCGTTACGCTGTCATTTTATCCCGGCGTCGCGGCGATTCAATACGCGAGCGACGTTCGCGGACAATGTCGTCGTAAAAAAGTCTTGAAAAAACCCCGTGTAGCAGAGCCGACCGAGAGACGTACAGAGGCTATAACGGCGGCCGTATTTATTTATTATAATAATATTAAATATGTATATCATATACCGCGTCTCTCGTACGAGGTCTGACCAAAAAGTAATGAGACTGTTTTTTTTTGCCACGCTTGCTACCGCTTTGGTACTAAGGGGAGTACTTTGAAGGGGATCACATGGATGTATCTTAATATTTAAATATACGTATTTTATTGAATTAGTCTCATTACTTATTGGTCAGACCTTGTATAATACTGTTTCTCTTCCCGAAGCCCCCGGTCTTCCATCCCCTTACCAAACCCTCCCCTCCCCCTCCCCGGTGCTTTTCATACGTTTTCTTTATCTATTTAATTTTGTTTTTTTTTTTTTTT